AATTCATCCTTTTCTTGTACTTCTGAAATTGTGTGTTATCACTTTCTACTTAAACTCCTCCACTGGACTCTTTAGGATCAATCTGCTTCCAGAATACCCTTTCTGTTTTGTCCTTCCAGGCTGTCAGTCTTAGAAGGGCACGACTTCCAAAGGGCAGCCCAATCCAATGCTGCCTGTGATGGGGTAGGCACTTCTAACCCTAATGCTGCCTAGTATTTGGAATCCCACTTTGTCTGTGGATACAGCCCACATTCTCCATGTTTTTTTTATGAATAATAAAGTTGATATTTTGGTCACCTTCCCAAAAATATTAGTGATATGATTTGGATATTTGTCCCTTCCAAATCTCATGTTGAAATGTAATCCCCAATGTTGGAGGTGGGCCTAGTGGGAGGTCTTTGGGTCATGGGAGTGGATCCCTCATGAATGGCTTGATGCCCTCCCCATGATAAGGAGTGAGTCCTTGATCTATTGGTTCACAAGGGAGCTGTTTTTTTTTTTTGGAGCCTGGTAGCTCCTCCCATCTCTTTCTGTTCCCTCTCTTGCCATGTGACATGCCTATACCCTCTCCCCTTCCACCATGATTACAAGCTTTCTGAGGTCCCTCCAGAAGCAGATGCCAGCACTATGTTTCTGGTGCAGCCTGCAGAACCATGAGCCAAAATAAACCTCTTGTTGTAAATAAATTCCTCATTTCAGGCATTCCTTTATAGCAACACAAAAAGAACTGATATAATCAGTTAAGTGAAGTAATATTGATATTTTGGTCACATTCTCCAATGTCATTTTCATCAGTAATTAAGGAGATATTGTTGTCTTAAAAAGAAAAAATGGCTGGCGCGGTGGCTCATGCCTGCAAATCCAGCATTTGAGTGGCCTAGGTGAACAGATCACTTGAGGTCAGGAGTTCGAGACCAGTCTGGCCAACATGGTGAAACCCCATCCTACTAAAAATAGAAAAATAAGCCAGGTATAGTGGTCCATGCCTATAATCCCAGCAACTTAGGAGGCTGAGGAACTAGCAATGGGTTCAATGGGTTCGATGCTTGAACCCAGGAGGTGGAGGTTGCAGTGAGCTGAGATCACACCACTGCACTCCAGCCTGAGTGACAGAGCAAGATCCTGTCTCAAAAAGAAAAGGAAAATAATAAAAGGGTGCTCTTCATTAGCGCCTTCCCACTATGCTGGGAATAAACTCCCAATTCCATGCCATGCCATGCCATGACCTCTATGAGTGGACTGTGACTTTCTCTCCAGCTTTATCTCCTTCTCCTCTTCCCTCTCTCACCGCACTCTAGTCTGTTTCACACCTTCTTTGTTCTGGAAACTCCACGCTGCTTTGAGCCTTTGCATTTGCTCCCCCTTCAGCCAACCCCTTTTCCACCCAGAAGTCTTGTCTTTTGGGTTTTAGCTCAAATGTCACCATTCCAGAGGGGTCTTTCATGATGACGCAAGTCCCACCCCACCCCATTCCCTTTTATCATATCATTCTGTTGTACTTTCTGTGTCCCACGCATCGTGACCTAAAATGATCTTGTTGTGTGTTTAATACTCATATCTATGTCCTACTCACATCCATCACCAATGGAATTTCAACTCCGTGAGGGGAGAAGCTAAATTTTCTTTATTTGCCTCTGTATTCTCAACACCTAGAATAGTACCTGGTAAACAGTAAGTACTTAATAAATATTTGTAGAATGGACTTAAGAATAAACTGTTCATCTAATTTATTCAAAGTTTAAGGTAGTAGGAATTTCAGGAACAACCTTGAAGAACTATGTCAGTATGTCTGCTTTAGAAACAGCTTATTTCCATATTTCAAGCAATAATAGCTAACACTCTGTGATATGCTTGTAAAATCTGCCCACTGTCTGTGAAGAGCTGGGGCTGCACTTCCACATACAGCAGAATAATCTTAAATTGTTCTCTAAACAGACTCTAATTGATATCATCTTGGAAAAATATGGCTACATTTTTATGCTAGCTCTTCATACTCTATATTAGCAGAAAGATGATACAGAAAATGATATATAAAAGACTTTCAAGAAGCACAAAATGATTCTCAGATATTTCTAAAGGTAACTAAAGTTTTCTAATGTTCCCAGACAGTTGATACATTTCCCAAATCTTCTGATCCACTATTCTTTAGGACTCATTGAATGTCTCTTCTCTGGTAAAATCTCTGAATTGTCTTTTTCATGGACTGTTTCAAAGATACACTCTCCAGATTCCCTGTCCAGTGAAAGTCCAAACTAGACTTGCTCCACTGGGCGTTCCTGTCCACTCCATGGCCCCAGTGTTCAATCTAGGTCACACTATAAAAGTTTCCTATTGCCTTTGGTACCTTCTGAGGATATTTCCAGGTTCTATGAGCTCCTCGAGCTTGACCTATATTACCTGTCCCCTGTCTAAACTTGCTCTCCCTCCACCCCCTTATTCTTCCCTTTGCCTCTCAATTCCTACAGTTCAGGCTGATATCTGGTTTCTAGAATTTCCAGGAAAGGAAAGGCATTGCCATTGCCAAGCCATCTTCTCTTATTATAGTTATATCTATTCCAAGGACTTAGAAAGGGTAAGTACATTGCCATAATCCTAGGCAGTATTTCCAAGAACTAGTACTTCCCTACCATTTGCAGGGCCCTGCATTTGTCCTCCCTCCAGTCTCTAGGAACGAAGTCTTCCTCATAATTCTCCATGGCAATGTCTGACTTCAAAATCGCCCTTCCCCCACTGATGCCCATCATCTGAACGATGGAGTGTACTTTCATTTTGCAGGTATCTATTACACGTCAGATTAGGATTAATCTATTTAATCATTGCCTCTTTATTCTTCATTCCCATTAGATTTCTTTATTCCTCTGGGGAGCTTCTCTCTGCTATGAGCACATGGGCAAACAGCCTTCTTTCCTATTTTCATTCCACTCCCACCCACAGCCAAGCCTTCTCCCAAGCTGCACTCTAAACTCAGAGCATCCTCCCTGTCTAAACTCATTACTTTTCTCCCTCCTTTCATTTAAACAGCTCATAAAAGTTTGTTCTTATAAAGACTTTTCAGAACAATTAATGTTTTGTGTTTATAATTTATTTAACAGTGGTTTCTAAAAAAATTTTATGAACTATATAATCACCTGGGAAAAAATTATTCTTTTATATATAACAGTTGTGTCATACTACCTATGTGCTTATCTCCCTGACATAAGTAACTTAAAATTTTCAGTTAATTATATTCCTAATATACTTTTATTTAGCACCAGTATCATCATAATCTCAGACTACAAGTTTAGAAAACGCTATGTAAACAATGAATACCACTTATTATGAGTATTTACAAGGGGTAAAGAACTTACATCAGATACCTTATAAAGTCTCTAATCATAAAAATACTTTAACTTTGGTGAAAAGAATTAAACTAATTCTATTTCTCTCAATCTGAAAAAAGTGATGAATAAAACTTTACTCATATTTAAAACATAAATCATAGTAGTCCCTGGATTAGGCTTTCGGAGGACATGTACCATATTGTTTTTCTCCTCAATATACTTAGCATCTCGCACAGTTGTGGGCACACAATCAATGCTCCTTATATATTTGGTGGATGAATGAATATATACAAATATATGATGTAAAGAAAGATCCTTGAGATTGCATAAAAGGTAAATACTAAAATTTGAAGTCAATTCAGCTCAATTTGAACTTAATTTCAGACATCAAAGCCAATAGTGTTTTTTTCCTTCTTTTGTTTTTCATTTTTCCACAAGCGAAGTCTTGACTCTTTCCATTACCACATTCATGACTGCCATTACCCCATGTTAGTTTGTTGTTACTTAATAGCTTTAATTTTTAAAATTCTGAGTTGAGTTTAATGACTCCAAAACACCAACCTACAAGACAGATGAACTTCTGAAAGCTGGCAGTAGCGTGTCAGTCACATGACCCAAGCTTGTAAGACTTAAAACTGCTGGCCAATTTGATCAACATAGAGATAAGTAAGTTGTATCTTTTTTTCTCCAAAGGTAATATATTATAAAAAATAATTGAACTTAAATAGTATTAACTATTACAGCATAAAATACTTTAGAAACACATTTGAAAGGAAAAAATCTAAGGTGCAGTTCAAGAGCTTCCTGGATCTCTTTCAGATGATCAAAATTACCTCTCTCCGAAGTCAAGCTAGTTCCAGAAATATTTCCATGATAGCATGATGTTGCTGAGAAACTGCTGTTTCCCAATCAGAAGAAAGTATCTACACTTTACTTTTGTTGGTTTTCTCCATTCTCCCTGTCAAGATTCTATTGCCTCAACACATATGAACACAGCTCATTAAAAACACACATGTGCAAGCCATGGTAAATGAGAGCCAAGACCTAGTTCCACATTGGAAGGGATATTAGAGAGTCAAATCAAGGCAGTAATCTTATTTATTGAGTAAAGTTTGAGAGCTTTTCCAGAAACGGACCAGGAAATTTCACATCTACAAAATCCAGAGGAAAGAAAGATCATGTCACTTTTAGGAAGCTGAAGTGTTTCAATATGTCTAAATGCATATGAGATATCCATCAGCACCTACTTGTCCACAGCCCCTTATGAGTGAAATTTCCCAGCCTATGGTCTCCTGTTGCTCGGTCAGCAATGCTTTGTGGCATGTCATCTTTTTACCCACACCAACTAGAGCTGGTGAAACCAGGACTGGTACTACCTCAATCTACCTGCTGGTTAATGACACATCACACTTGGCACTGAAAGATAAGTCAACCAGTAAGTTTTCTTTCTCAGAAATTTGACCTGAAAATAACCTGGAAAATGAGCTAGATATAAGAGTGAGAATTAAAACTGAGATGTTGGAGGAATAATGATGAGACATACGAGCTAAATTTGCCAGGGAACAGAAGTTATCAGTACAGGTAAAAGGCTAATTAAGAAAGAAAAATGGAACATACATGCAGAGAGCAGCAAAACATGCTCCTCAAAGAGCTTTTTAAAAATACAATTTTATTTTCATTAAATCTATCACAAAAATGCACACTCATAAACATTAATGACAAGGCTGTGTGGCTAGCCTGACCACGGTCCACTTTACCACCCTTCTTTTTCGTAATACTGTTCACATATCTCTTCTCATTCCATTGCACAAATGACCCCATTGTACAGATTGCAAAACTGAGGCACTGAGAGAATAAGTGACTGGCTGAAGTGAGTATGGTACATTTTTGGTGCTCTTCAAGAACTTACATTTTTCACTACTTTAGCATGATTCACTTCAATGGGCTGTGAATCAATCAGAAAGTTATACATTAAAAGTAGTCAGAACCTTTATTTGTATCTACCAGAGTTTTTTTCACAGCCATTCTCTGCTTCTTATCCAGATCGTCAGTTATACACTATAATTTATTTATATACCTAAAAGCATAAAACAATATTTTTAATATTTAGCTTTAATGACTTTCTAGTATGTGTCATTATTCTGATACTGTCATCTCATTGAGCTTAGTGTAAATGACATTATTAAATTATACGGGCAGTATAAAATTACATTCTTTAAATCATGTGCTTCATAATATTTTATTTTAATAAAGTCTTTGCAGTAGAAACGTTCCACTACTCACTTATTCTTTCTCATGAGATAAAAAATTTTACTCTAGGCCTTTAAATGAAAGCCAATTGAAAAATTAATCATAATTGCTACATAACATAGTCTCAAAGCAGCTTTGGAGTGTTGTTTAGAATTTAATTGACTATCCTTTGCTATGAACATCAAGACCTAAAATTTTGGTGAAAGGAGAAGGAAGAGAAATGTAAGTAAGCACATATCCTAGTAAATTTCAAAAGGACAAAGTTTTGGTTAAAAAGTTACAAAGTTTGTTAATTCCTCCATTCCATCTCCAGATGTTGTCATGGCAATACATCCGTAGTTAAAACACATACATGTACATGCACATACACACACACACACACACACACACACACACAGTCTTTTTGGTACTTTTACTTATATCTACATTCTCATACAGAATCTAAATGAAATATGCCTCAGTAGTCCCACTGCTGTGGCTATTAGAAGTCTGTAAAAAGTCAAGTCAAATATGCAATGGGTAAACTACAGTGAATCTTTTAAAACACAGCGTATCCTACAAAACCCAGATTTCTAAACTACAAGGCTGTGAGAGCGTATCATGTGAGATTCCAAGTAATGTTTTATTCAAATAGCCTAATCAGAGACAAGTCTTTGTGAGCAGGCAGGATTTAGTGTACAGCATCTGTGTTTGCCAGGTGCATTCTTGCTGACCTTGAAGATAACAAATAGGTGTAAAAGACATTCATGCCCCTCTACTGCTGACATTCTGTGTTCTTTGTGATCCTGCAGGAAATGCATTAGTATGCCACTGTGGCTACAAGACCACGGCAGGGGAACCAAAATCCACCTCTTAGATATTACTGCACTATAGCTCTGCAGACACTCTGGACTCAGGGAGTAACTAACAACAAAATGCATTTTTAAATTTTCAAAACACATTAGCATTAAGAATCCTAAAGGTCTAGTATGTATTATGAATGTGAAAAAAGAAAAAGAAGAATCCCAAAGGAAGAAAGACTTGTGTCTTTTGGTTGTGATTCTGGGCTTTCAAGGAAGTTGTTGGTAAACTGGCCTCTCCTGTGAGCACTTTCAGTTCTCAGGAACCTGAGTAACAGAGCAATTCAAGTTATTACTGTTCAGGGAAAACCTGGCCACTTCAGCCCAGCTGACTAAGCCAAAGATTGTCTTCCTGATAGAGCTTGAGAACCTCAGTAACATTTTAACCCATGTTGCAGATAACCATTTACACACCACTTACTTGGGGCTCAGTAATGATTTTTTACTTGGAGACTTAATTTCATTTTCCTAACACTGAAGCCTCCTGGCTATGGGAGTGAGACCCAGGGAAGGGAGGGCGATGATGGCTAGATGGATTATTCCAAAGAACTGGAGCAAATTTATAAATTAAAGACTATTATCTAGCCCTCCCCTTTCCCCTCATGCATCCTGTCTTTCTTCCTGACTCATCATTCTTCTTATAGTCTAAGGCATCGTTAGACAGTAAATTTTTAAAGAATTTGCTACATATTAATTACATGGGTCACCAAATTGTCCCCTAGATTGTGCTAAGTGACACTGCCTCCAGCAAGATCTGAGATAGTCCACCATCCAGCAATCTCATCAGCTTCTAACAAAGCTCTTTGCTTTGCCAGTTTCATAAAGGGATATATTCCTCTCTTTTGTTGTATTAGAGGCTGATACGGTTTGGCTCTGTGTCCCCACCCAAATCTCATCTTGAATTGTATTCCCATAATTCCCACATATTGTGGGAGATAATTTGAATCATGGGGGCAGTTTCTCCCATACTGTTCTCGTGGTAGTAAATAAGTCTCACAAGATCTGATGGTTTTATCAGGGGTTTCCGCTTTTGCATCTTCCTCATTTTCTCTTTCCAGGCCAAGTAAGACGTGCCTCCACCATGATTCTTAGGCCTCCTCAGTCACATGGAACTGTAAATCCAACTAAACCTCTTTTGCTTCCCTGTCTTGGGTATTTCTTTATCAGCAGTGTGAAAACAGATTAACAGTAAATTGGTACCAGCAGAGAGGGACATTGCTGAAAAGATCCGAAAATATGGAGGCAACTCTGGAATTGGGTAACAGGCAGAGGTGGAATGTTCAGAGGGCTCAGAGGAAGAGAGGAAAATGTGGGAAAGTTTGGAAGTTCCTAGAGCCTTGTTGAATGGCTTTGACAAAAATGCTGATAGTCATATAACATTAAGGCCCAGGCTGAGGCAGTCTCAGGTGGAGAAGAGGAACTTATTTGGAACTGGAGCAAAGATGACTCTTGATATATTCTAGCAAGGAGAATGGTGGCATTTTGGCCCTGCCCTAGAGATTTGTGTAACTTACAAATTTCTAAGCAGCAAAGCATTCAAGAGGCAATTTGGGTGCTGTTAAAAGTATTCAGTTTTAAAAGGGAAACACAGCATAAAAGTTTGGAAAATTCACAGCCTGACAATGTGATAGAAAAGAAAAACCCATTTTCTGAGGAGAAATTCAAGCTGGCTTCAGAATTTACATTAGCAAAGAGGAGCCAAATGTTGGGGAAAAAGTCTCCCAGGGCATGTCAGAGGTCTTCACGGCAGCCCCTCCCATCACAGGCCGTGAGGCCTAGAAGAAAATGGTTTCCTGGGCCTGGCCTAGGATCCCCTTGCTGTGTTCAACCTAGGGACTTGGTGTCCTGCATCCTAGCTTCTCCAGCTGTGTGTGGCTGAAGGGGGCCAACATAGAGCTTGGACTGTGGCTTCAGAGGGTGCAAGTCCCAAGCCTTGGCACATCCATGTGGTATTGAGCCTGCCAGTACACAGAAGTCAAGAATTGAAGTTTGGGAACCTCCACCTAGATTTCAGATGTATGAAAATGCCTGGATGCCCAGGCAGAAGTTTGCTGCAGGGGTGGGTGCTCACGGAGAACCTCTGTTAGGCAGTGCCGAGGGAAACGTGTGGCTGGAGCCCCCACACAGAGTCCCTACGGGGGTACCACCTAGTGGAGCTGTGAGAAAAGGGCCACCATCCTCCAGACCCCAGAATGGTAAATCCACTAGCTTTCACTGTGCACCTAGAAAATCTGCAGACACTCAATGCCAGCCCATGAAAGCGGCCAGCAGGGAGGCTGTACCCTGCAAAGCCGCAGAGGCAGAGCTTCCCAAGACCAAGGGAATCCACTTCTTATATCAGCATGACCCAGATGCAGGACATGGTGTCTAAGGAGATCATTTTGGAGCTTTAAGATTTGACCACCCTGCTGGATTTCAGACCTGCATGGAGCTTGTAGGCCCTTAGTTTTGGCCAATTTCTCCCATTTGGAATGGACGTATTTACCCAATGCCTGTGACCCCATTGTATCTAGGAAGTAACTAACTTGAAGTCACTAACTTGTTTTTGATTTTACAGCCTCATAGGAGGAAGGGACTTGCCTTGTCTCAGATGAAATTTTGGACTCTGAATTTTTTAGTTAATGCTGAAATGAGTTAAGACTTTGGGGGACTGTTGGGAAGGCATGACTGGTTTTGAAATGTGAGAACACGAGATTTGGAGGGGCCAGGGATGGAATTATATGGTTTAGCTGTGTCCCGCCCCCCCACCACACACACACACAGATCTCATTTTGAATTGTACTCCCATAATTCCCACATGTTGTGAGAGGGACCTGGTGAGAGATAATTGGAATCATTGGGGAGGTTTCCCCAATACTGTTCTTGTGGTAGTGAATGGGACTCACCAAATCTGATGGTTTTATCAGGGGTTTCTGCTTTTGCATCTTCCTCATTTTATCTTGCCACTGCCATGTAAGAAATGCCTTTCACCTTCTGCCATGATTCTGAGGCCTCCCCAGCCACGTGGAACTGTAAGTCCAATTAAACCTCTTTTTCTTCCCAGTCTCGGGTATGTCTTTATCAGCAGCAAGAAAACTAATACAGAGCTCATTTTTGCCATCAGTTTAAATTAAAATATTTTAAATCTAACCTGCTAAAATATTTATATTAATGTTTCACGATAGTAAATCAATCTTGCATTCTTAGGATAAAATCTACAAGATGATGATGAATGATTCTGTGAACACCCTGCCAGTGTCAGTGTGATCTCCTTCATTTAGGGTGTTAACATCTATGTTAGTTAGGAATATTGGTCTCTGACAGTCTCTCTAGTAGCTGAAAACACTAGAATGTACCAGTGCCTGGAACATTTGAGGAACAAACATTGTGCATGATTAATAGGTACATACAGTGAAGCAAAGAAAAAACCTGGGGGAGGTTCTCATGGTCACATAAATTATAGAGATTAATATATATTAACATATTATAGACTCTAGGATAGCCTGTATTAATGAACTCTGTTAAGATTTGTTTTACCCCTGGTTTATTAAATATATTTTGCTAAATATACAGAATGCTATCTGTATAGAATAACTATTAACCTCTCACAGAACAGTCAAGTGTCCCATTTAAGAATTTGAAAAAACACATGTAGTCTTTTTGTTCTGTGTTTGGCACATGTTTTATGCTAGCTTCACAAAATTAATTTGTATTTTCTTGTTCTCCAAGGTAACTTAAATGTAAAGTAAATAATTTTGTTTTCTAGAAGTTTGAAAGAATGCTCCTTTGAAATCTACTAGTCTCAGTAACTTTTGGTGATAATGGCTTTTTTACAATTTAATTTTTTATGATTATTGATATATTTTGATTTTCTATT